ACAACAAAATAACGCGACGTTGCCTAGGAGGAAGTAAAGCGTTACTTGGACGGAGGGTCTAATACTTTGCCGTTGGTGCGTACTTTGATGTTGTACCTGTAGGCCGGTTCCGCATCTGGCAGGATCGTGCTGCTGTCGTCGTCCTGGTCCTTCATCATCGCCGAGTCCGCCGATGACGCCGCCGTGTCCGCCGGCTGATCGTTCACGTAATCCTGAACGCTGTCGTACGGCCCGATCGTGTGGGCGTCCTCGAGACCGTTGTTCGGCAATTCAGTTTCCGCGGTCAGGTCGCCGTAATCGGGGGTCTCGCGATGCTCCATCTTCATCTCCGACGAGAAGGAGGAGGAGGAGGCGGAGGAGACGGCGGGACGGGAAATCGACGACCGCAGGACCTCGCGAGTCTCGAGACCGTCGAAGACGCTGTCCTTGCGCGCTTGAGATGCCACGGCGACGTGCCCGGTGAACAGGCTCGCGATGTCCGGGAGATGCTCCGGTCTGGTGTCGTCCAGGTCGCCGACAGCCGCGCGTTCACGCTCGTCACCGTCGTCGAACAGCGACGTCGCCGATGCCGTCGCTCCTGTGTGTTGATACTGCTGCTGCTGCTGCTGCTGCTGTTGTTGCTGTTGTTGCTGCTGCTGATTGCCAGATGCGGGAGCGGCCGTGGTGATTAGCCTGCTGACGACCGGGTCTTCTGAAAATTTCTCGCCCATGGATGCGTCCGCTTCTAGTGGTGTTGCCTCCTGCTCGTCCTGGGCGTCATCCGAACGGTGATCGTCGATGTTAGTCATGTCGGTTTCGTGATCACTCGCTTGGTCGTCGCTGGCTGGCGCCGAGGTGGTCGTGATGTAGGGTCTGTGATTTCTGAAAAGACGCGGGGCTCGTAAGAGACGATTGTCCCTTTCGCTTTTTTTCTACAAGAATTACAATAATTATTTCTTCGTAAATTTCTAATTGATATTTAAGTTAAATTAGCATTTTGCGACTTTTATTAGTGGCCCACGTAAATTTACACGCGCTGTATATTAATAGCAAAGAAAGGCGTTTTTATTGTAGTAATATAGATCGATTTAAATACTTTCATAGCGATTATACGTATCTACAACCAAGTGAAGCCATACATGTGTACATATGTGCGTGAGAAGTGTATCGTTTGTTGAGTATTGTGTGTCAAAAAGGAAGCGAGAGAATTGCATTATATTAAGAAAAAGCTGTGAAGACATTTGCTGAAGGAATTTCATATCGTGGTTGAGCTATGCTCATTCATCGACACTTCCGTCCCGAAGCTATTAGCTATATGCGAGGAAGATCTCGAAGAACTGGTTTGACACTGACTGGTTTGACACTGACGAGTCAAGATCATTTCCCATTTTATCGCAAATTGCGGAAGAAAAAGCGTTCCTCGTCCCAAGCTATTTCTATCTCTCGCTAGACTGCACGGAGGAAAAGGCTCGTTCCGGCGATATCCGGTTACGAGTATTCACGTCGTTTCACGCCCTCGTAAACTTTAAATACTCACTGAAAAAAGGAGAGATAAGTTCGAAGCTCCACGAAATTGGAATTACAGTGACGCGTTGTCGTCACGGGACGTACTTACGGGAATATACGTAACGTTAATAATAATCTCATCCGTCGTTAAAGTCAGCTACCTCAGCATACTTCGGTAGCAGGAGGGATAAGCAGAAGTTCAATTATCATATTTTCATGTCTTATCGCTGGAAGGTCATTTACTTTTTGTCCGTGCATAAGCAAGCTTCGCTTAGAGTCGGAATTTCCTCCGAGAGCTCCTCTCTTCCTTTCTCTCTTCCTCTCTCTCTCTCTCTTCTTC